GGAGAACCCCTGAAACTCAGGCCCATCTTCTCAACATCCTCATTCTTCTGGTGATGCTCTGCAGCTTTGACTCCTGAAATAGCACAGGCACCAAAGAGTGGAGGGCCTCAGGGTTTTGAAGGGCATGCCTGGTGGTCAGCGGTAACACATTACCAATGAGTAGCTGGGGAGGAGGGGCAACATGAGGGCTGTGGACGTAGGCCGGGAAAAGGAGGTGAGCTGGTCATGCTCAAGAGATGGAAAACCCATGCGTTCCACTCCCATCCATGCAATGTCAAGAGAGGAAGGCCCCAACGCACTGGGTCGTGGGTGTGATTGTAAGAGTGGTTGGGGTAATAGGAGAAGGCCTGGGTAGAGGTGTGATGCACCCCCAAAGGGAGTGGGGCCCTCTATGGTAGTATCCTAGATTTGTCCTGTCAAATTGGAACCTTATGTAAAACTTAACCCTTCCCTACCACCACCTTTCATCTACAAGGGTTTTCATTTCTTTGATCTTTTTCAAGTGAATTTAGTGTTGATTTAAAGTGAAAGTTGGACTTCTTGGAAATGAAATGGTTAAGCTTTACGGTGATGTGGAGGAAGTACTTCAGTAAGTGAAACAAAGTTGAGTACCTGTCTCCTTCGTCCTGTGTCTGCCTGCGGAGGTTACCCACAAAAAGTGGTTTGGGGCTGGCAGATGAGAGAGGGCCTTCAGTAGAATGTGAGCTCTTTGAAGGCAGAGACAGTTTCAGTTCTGCCTTTGTGTCCTCAGTGGTTAGTACACAGTAGGTGCTTAATAAGTGCGTGTTCAGCTGAATTAGGCTCATACCAGCACAGTATTGGGGAGGGAGGTACATTTCTCTATGTAACAGTTTCTATAATTAAACTAAAGGCAAGCTGATTTTTGTACCCACTGAAGGCACTTTGTAGACAATTAGATTCAAGCCAGTGACCTACATAGCAAGTCTGTGAGAACCAGTGTATTACATGACCGATCCTATAGCTGCTGTCTTTATCTTTCCATCTCCTTTTTGAAGAATCAGCAAGCCTGTGTTAAGCTTGGTACATCTAGTGACACCATCATGTCACTGCCTGTAGGTTTCCTCTACTCATGCCAGAGAGGGAGATAAAAACCCTTTTCATTTCTATCATTATTTTTGTTGTGGGTTTTTTTTTTTTTGCTTTTTTCTTTCAGAGTTTTAACCTCTACATATCTGGGTTGTTACAGAGTTCACACAGAATCACCTAGACACTTGAAAGTGAGAAAGCAATGGATGTGTTTTAAATAGATTTTTAAAATCCCCTTAAATATCGAATAGTGTTTTTAGGCTGTTAAAAGGTAAAGCAAGTCAACCTCAAAGCATGTTCCTTCATCAGCTTTCCAGCTTTGAGGAAAGGAACTCATTTCACAATCCAGCTTTCATCCTAAGTAGCTAGAGGCAGGCCAACAGATCAGAGTAATAAACACATCTGGGTAATAAAGATGAGCGTAGTCAATGGCGGCCTCTGGACAGAATTGCTGCAGCCTGCACGGAGGCACTCTCTAAAATCTTCATTTGTGGAGGAAAATATCTCTCTTACTTTTTAACCTCCCCACACTGCCTGGAGAGAGGGAGGAAAGACAACCAGTCCTGTTGACTTAGATCCCAGGCATCCACTGGGCATCCAGCAGACCAGATGCACCTGCCTGGGATCTTTAGGGGGAAATACCGTAACTGGCCACTGCCAGGTGGCATCCTCTCAGGCTTGGACCGATGATTGAGTTGTCATTACCAATAACTGAGGAGGCCCGCCTCGTTATCCATTTCTGATCCCGTGACAAGATGGCTGCTCTTGGATTCTCTGGACCAGCAACCCAAACTAGAGCCAACTATGCTGGTGGCTCCTTACTTTTGGTAGGCAGTGGAGAACTTGCTGAAGACATAGCCTGAGACTTTCTTCTAGATGTTAAAGCTAGGAGAGGCCTGTGACTTTGGTCAAGATCCCTGGTGACCCAGGATGTCATACCTTGGGCCCTGCTGCATTTCTGCCTTCTCTGGGCTAATTTTCTGCTTCAGAGAACTAGCAACAGTTAGAAAAGGAGGATGAGAAAGAACAAAGAAAAATGAAAATAAGAAATATAGTAAATGAGAAAAATCACTTTTCTGAGACTATCCCAAAATGGAGTAAAGAACAAGGAATGTTGGAACTGGGAGGGGCCTTAGAACGGAGAATGTCAGATGACCTTGGAGGTCATCTAGCCCAGCTCTCTCCAATTATATAGGAGGACTCTGATACTGTACATTGGTAAAATTTCAGATGCCACGGCAAGATGGGAGGAGGGAACAGGTAAGGCAGATATTTATAAATCCAAGCCTTCTGTGTGCCTCCAAACCCACAAGAGGCAGTGTACATCTTCCCCCTATGTTTAAGGGTGGGCCTCTAGTTCTCTGAAGGAGATTATGTTAGCAAATATTATATGAACTAAAGTAGAAAATCCCTGATGTTGGCTTCATAAAGCAGAAAGGATGCTGCTGGGACTCTTCACAGAAACATATGCAGATAGTCTGCTCCGTTGAGAAAACTCCTTTAGAATTTATAGGCAAAAGGATCATCATTCTTCAGAGTTTAGCTAAGTGATTGTTTTGTGTAGAATGTCTGACAATGACCCAGAAGATTGTGTTTCCTTAAATAGAACGAGCGATGCATCAGAAGACAGTCATCTGATGTAGACTGAATTATCCACATTTTCAGTCTAGACTGTCCCAGACTCGCTGGATATGTGAACACTCAGTTTGCTTTGGCCTTACAGATGTGGCTTCTGTCACCCAGCATAGTTATTAGAAGTACTAAATACACCTCCACAGCATGGTTCTCAAACATTCTTTTGCATGGATTGGTTCAAAACTATTTCCAAAGAATTATAGACTTTTACAGCTGTTGAAGATCTCAGTGACCGTCTAGTTCTTATTTCACTGGTGAAGAAAGAAAGTTGATTTGTACAGAGATTATAGTTAGCGCACTTCCCTCCCCGCTCTGGCTTTCAGTTTCTTCATTGGCAAATGAGATCTAGAAAGGACTGAGGCCCCTTCTAGGTGTAAAATTCTATGATTCTTCCTAAGAAATGTCCCCAGGGAATCACTTCTGTTCCTGGAACTGTTTCTGAACCTTCTAGCTTCTTATAAACCAGTTGCAGTTTTCAAGTCTCACCATCTTGGGAGTGGTATATGTAAACAGGGTAAAATTCTGACCAACTCACTGCAATAAAATTGCTTTTCTGAGCTTCCCAATCAAATTCTGGTTTCCTGAATAATAGAGCAAAGCAAAAACTCTTAAGTTATTAGGCCAGCCTGTCATTTGAGGTCTCCAACTTACATCTGTCTCCTCTTGTGAAAAAGAGACACCTCTCTGTCCTTGTTACCCCCATACCCAGATTTAATAAATGGCAGTGATTTGTATTTGAGTAGCAAATATCCCCAAATGAGGTTTCACACAAGCTGAATTCTGGCGTGTCATTTTTCATCTAACCATACTATAACGAATTCATTTTCTCAATAAAGAGGTTTGTTTTTGTGTTTTGTGTTTTGTATGGCCTGATTTCGTTTCGTCCAGAGTAGGTCATTCTAAAATTTTACATACATAAGCAAACCGGTGATTTGTTAAGAAGTTCTATTTATTTTTTCAGGGTTTTACTGTTTTAAACAGTCTAGGTTTTGGTTGAAGCCGGAGTGAATTTGAGTGGTTGTTCGCTAGGGCCAGTGTAAAACTACTGTGACCAATTATCCCGATTGCTTTCAAAAACCAAGGAGAAACTGATTCTTGAACTAGCAAGGCATCCCTCTAGGCATTTTGGTCCCTTTCTGGTATGCATGTAAGTGCTTTATTCCCTTGCTGTGGAGGCTGCATGACTTAGTGCTGCTGTGGAAAGATGGCCAGGAAGGCCCAGGCTCAAGTTCCCCCTGGGGCACATACTTTCTTTGTGACCCTGGGCAAATCTCTTAACTTTTCAGCTCTCCAGGCTGCTGTCTAAGACTGAATCTTACAGATTCAGAGAAGGCGCCCACCTTCATTTGTAGAGGGACTTTCCTCACCTGGGAGTTCCCCATCCCACTGAATTCACAGTTCCTACCCCCTGTAATTTTTCACCACATATCAGAAATAGTAATAATAGTTTCAACAAGAGGCAAAGGGAATATTGTTATGGATTCTAGTATGTGTGGCAGCCTTCTCCCACTAGGTACATTGGAAAAAAATTTTTTAAAATTTATCTTTCCACTCTGGGGAGTGGGGGGCTGGGGGGCAGGGGGGAGGAAGAGAAGAGGACATGGACAACCCTTTTCTCCCATCTAGTGGCCAGAAATATAAGTGTCCTAAATATTTCTTGGAATTGGGGATGGAGGACACTGGCATTGCATGGAGAGATAATATACCTGACTCTGCTCTTAGGGAAGCAGGATTCTAATCCCCAATCCTCCCTAAAGCTGAGGAGAATGAGAGGAGAGACTTGTTCGTGCTGATTCACCCTTCAGTCTTCTATGTATATGCCCCTTTACATAATGGGGGGTGGGGGCAGGGTAGCTCTAAGGGCTGAGATAGCAGGGTGCTGGCCGAATTCATTCGTTCATAGGGGAAAGGTGAGCCTAGATGCCTCTGCTAACATGTGTGGAAATCACTCGCTTTCTTCCCCTCTGGAGCATTTTGGCACCCCAGAGCTCTCCTGACCTAACAATCAGGAATTTGCTCCTCTCTTGGCTTCACACCTTGACAATCAACCCTCCCCTCAAGAGCTGGATGTACAGGATTCACTTGTGAGAGCCAAAGATCTGTCCCCAAAGTCGGCTGCCTCCAGGGGACTCCAGCTCCTGAAACTTGGAATGCCAGCCTCTGATACTGGCAGCAGGACCAGCGTGCAGGGCCAAACCAGCCAGCCCTTTGAAGTGCAGGTTGGGATCCGTTACACAGCTCAAGGGATAAAAAGCCTGGTGCCTTAGAGCACCCAGAAATCGTTGCTGAACGTTGTCTCTCTCTGCTGATTCCCACAGATGCAAAGGCTGGAACTCGTGGACAGTCAGCAAACCTTTGATGTTCCGAAGAAGAGGAGAAAGGTCAGCGAGCCAGTGAAAGTCCTCTTCCCATATAGAAAGTGAAAATCGGTCACCTTCTCCGTGTTTGTTTTTGTTCTGTTGATTTCATTGTGCAGCAAACCGACATGTGCTCTCTGGGTAGGAGCCTTGGTGGCCAAAACCTTTTGGCTGGCCCGGAGTTATGCTGTTCCTGAATTTGTCTCTCTAGCCTCTTGCCACTGTGGTTAAAGGCCATGATGTTGGGCTAACTTAGAGTTCACTTTGGGAGAAGGGAAATTGGCCAGAGAGCAACAAAGTCAGCAAAAAGCCCGCCCTGGGTTACAGTTACCACAGGCTTTAGCTGCAGACAAGTGCCCATTGTGTGTGTGTGTGTGTGTGTGTGTGTGTGTGTGTGTGTGT